GCTTTGAAGAGGCCCGGGTGTCTGAGAGGGAGCTCCACCATCTCTTTGATCTGGGCCAGCTGTTTCCGACAGCCCCCGATGTCGTCGTAGCCAATGTCGTTAAGGCTCTCCTCTTCATCCTGTTACGGATTTAAAAAAAGAAGTTTTTAAAAAGCTGAGAAAGAGGTCACAAACTGTGAACAACTTATACTAACAAAACACCACCCTCGCTTTCCTTTTGTCAGAGCAATACTGACCAGTCGCAACATGGCAATATCAAATAAGATTCCCTGATTTTGCCTCTCGGTTGATAAGCAACAACACTTCTACAAACGTGTCAGACACCTCTCTTTTGATCGGTTGGCCCTCACAGTAGATGACGGTGTCCGGGGCAACGATGCAGTGGGGGCTCGGGTCGGTCTCCACCACCTTGAACTCCACTGCCCGCATGCTCCCCCTCACCAGGAAGATGTCGCCTGACGACAATAAAAAAAAGACGCTCTTCATCTTGCCGGTGGCGAGGCGGTAACTGACCCGGAGGAGGTGTGACCCCTGCCTTGGTGCACTGGTCGGTACGCTTCCAGGAAGTACGGCTTCAGGAAGACCTCGAAGAGGTTCCCCGTGAGGCCCTCGATGGTGTCGTCGATGGGGAGGACGTGGATTTTCTTCCCGTACTTTATATCCGGGCAGGCATGGATGCTGCGATTTCACACAAACGGATCACGTGACGCCATCTCCCGCCCGCCGTGGTGCTCCCATAGGACGAAACCGGGTGAGGCCTACCTGATGACGTCACCGAGCCGCACCCGTAAGTTGTTGCGCGTCACCCGGTTGGCCCGGATCCGCTCGTCGGCGCAGGTGGCGTCCGTCAGGACGATGCACGCCGTCTGCCGGCGCTTCCGGCCCCTCAGCAGCACCGTGTCCCCCCGGAACAGCTGCAGCTCCTCCGTCTTGTTCTGGTCGCGAGCACACGGGGCCGTAAGGGCAAAGGCAGCCCCTGGCCTTTTGGCGTCCACCCCCCCACACACACACACACACACCTGTGACAGGCTCACTATGCTGCTGTCTTCGCTGAGGGCCTCGTCCACCACCAGTCTGTTGGGCCTGTGTTTCTGCTTCAGGATGGCGGTGGAGAAATCGGCTCCCTTTGGGCTTCCAGACAAGAGACATGTTGATACACACACACAAATACACACACACACACTAAAACATCCAGCGCGCTGCACTCTCAGATCTAATTTCCTCATGTGACACACGGGCTGCCGCATTTAGAAATCGGCCAGGCTCCGCACGTAGCAGCTCTCCACAGAGCTGAACGCATCCCGATAAGTTTCCGGAAAAAAAAAAGTTCGGAGACTCCGGATGAAATGCTTCAGCCGTTTGTCTAGAATATATGAGGCACACAGATTCGTGCACATGCAGCTGTTTCACTCACTCTGCTCCCCCCGAGCCCGGCATGTCTGCTCTCCTCCGTCTCCTTGGGTCTCAGATGGTCTCAGTTTTGTCTTACTTTCTGCAGGTGAGCGTTGGAGAATGATATGAGCCTGTAGGTCTCAAATGTTTCTGATTCACTCTGATCCGATCGGCCCCCCGGTGAGGTCTGGCTCTTCAAAGGCCCCTGGAGGTTTCCCTTCCCTTCCCTTCACTCGTCTCCAGCCTCCATGTTTGTGAGAGAGCTGCAGCCTGCTTGTTTATCACAGGAGGTATGACTATGCCCGTCTGCTTCCATGTCTTATTATAACCCAATCATGGGTGCACTAAGATCCCAGGCACTCACCTTGGAGAGCGTCCCAGAACGGAGACCGTGCGATATTTTCCCCTCCTGCTGTTTGCCCGCAAACACAAGCACAAAATTCTATCTGGTCCCAACTGGTGTGAAATACACGTCAAACTGGCCTCCGCATAAGCGTCTCATGTCAAAAAGTCTGCCGTGTGGTGTCTCATCTCTAGAGTTGGCCCGTTCTCTGATCCCAACATGGTGTTTTTGCCTTCGGGTCCTCGTGACTGAAGGGGGCTGGTGGTGTGACCCAGCTGCTCTGAACTGTCTGCACCCCCCCCCCCCCCACCCATTCACTGCATGTTGTGTATGCAAACATGTAGACAAACAAACAAAACCTTCCCATTAACAAGTACAAACCAGCGACGAGTGAAACATCTCACCACACAGCGAGACAGGTATTTAAATGTAAACTTTTATTGCTAAAAGTAACAGACGAGCGGAAAAAAAGTGGATTTTTCCAACCTCTTTGTGAGGATGAGACACAAACACAGCGGTTTCTATCCAACACACGACACAAAAAAATGAAATGATGCGAACAAGGACAATCACAGGTAGGAAAACGAGAGAGAGCGCTTCTACCGGCTGAATGCAACATAGAAAAAGAGACACTGAAAGAAGGAGGTAGAGGAGTTCTGAACGCACAACGAAGCGTTGGTCTGATTTGAACCGATCCATCAGTTCTGTGTTGGAAAAAAACAATCAAAAGCATAAAAATGATATTTGTATTTTGGCAGGGTGTCAAACTTGGAATGTTTGCGGCAAAGGTGGAAATGAGTTGTTTAACACTTATTTGGTTGCCTTCCACTGTTGCAAAATGCTGGTGGTTTGGTCAGAGATGGATTGATCATCACTTACTGATAATGTCTTTTCAGTTGGATTATATCGTTCCAGAAAAATACAGATGGCTTTGTGTGATGAGAGCGTGTTGATGGCATGAACGGCTGATTGTTGTGCGCTCGGTTCAGTTTCAGCCGGCCTCTCACGCATTTTCAGGCTGGTTTTAAATGTCCGTGTCGGATTACTCAATCCCTGGATTACAGGACATCTCTGGCTGTCTGTGCAACACTTAATGAAAAATGACAAAGTAGCTTTTAAGGAGAGAACCAATCAGAGGCCTCAGGTCAAATTTTGAAAGTTGACGTGGATCCTTGAGAAATTTTTGTGGCGAAAAAAATATTCAGAAATTAAATGTTGATCAAATACACGGAAAAAGGGACTTTACTTCTCCCAGAGGGAGTAAACTGATGTTTGAACACAAAGTGCCCGATATTGCTTTGACTATTTTTTTCTGTTTTTTTACACATATACACGGACAGACAGATTTAAAAAGGAAAAGAAAGAACAGAAACACAGCCGCCCCTGTGATTTCATGTTCATGTAAAAAAAGCAGCTATCAAACTCTCAGCCTCTCAGGATGATCTCCACCTGAACGTGCACAGTTTTCAGCAAAAAACAACCATTTCAACACAAACCTTTTTGCACAGTTGAAAAAGAAAAAAAACAACTTTTTTTTAAAAGTGCGAGCTTATTGTCTAACTAAAACAGAAAAATCTGCATGGCTGTTTTGAATCTTTGCACCTTAAAATGTCGGTTGCACGAGTCCTCAGCCAGAACAATCGCCATCCAGAATATCCTGCCACGATAGAGCCAATCCAAGCCCCGGACCAGTTGTGGAGGTTGTGTTTGAGGGAAGAGTTAAAAGCCGGCCAATTGTAGATCATGCATGCATCTTTATATTAGTTGGGCTATAAGTTCATATAAACAGTCCAAATGTGATTTGTGTCTTTCGTTAGCAGTCGTCGTCCTCAAAGTGTGTTTTCTGCAGAACCTTTACGTGACGCTCGTAGATCTTGAGGGCGGGGCCGAGTCTGATCGAGAGGCCTGTCAGCACGTCGTTGCGCTGCATGAGGAGGAGAGACTTCCCGTCGATTTCCTGGTGAAGAGAGGAGAGCGTTTCACGGGGATGTTGGTGTTCGGGTTTTAAGGGGATGAGGTCTGAGAAGACAGACGCTCACCTGGATCCTGAAGGCAGCAGCCTGCTCGGGGAAACCCGCTTCTGTGAAGTAGTTCACCACGTCAGACACAGTCCAGTCCACTGGACTCCCTTTGACGCCTTCGCACTTCATAAGCCTAGAAAAACAAGCGATCGACCATCAAGAAACTCATGAAAGATGATGAAATAGAAGATATGTGCAGCAAGTACAGAGTTTTATGACAAATATGGTCAGTACCGAGAAAGAAATGAGCTAATTATTGACTTATGGAGTAATTCAATGAAACCGGTGTACTGTGAGTGATCTTGCTCTATAAAAGTGGGAAAAAAATAGTTTGTTCTTTTCTAGAGAGCTTAAGAGTCAACATGGCATGATCACCTGCATCTTTTAACACAGCCCGAAACCCCCCGGATACACTTTACTCTATTTTCTTTAATTAATGTTTAGGAACAGTCAAACTTAGCTTTAGAAGTGGGAAGCTTTTTGTTATATTATGAGTCCAAAGCGTGGAAAGCCATTACTTGAGACCACTCCAAAGGATCTTTATAAAGTTTAGCTGGTAGAAGCAGATTACAAAAAATGGCGAGCCCAAGACATAGCGCCGAATGTGTATGTTTTATTTAAAGGGGAACCTATGAACATGCGGATTTGTTAGCTTGTTGGTCTGTGTCATTGGGGGAGAGTAGGGCTTGTTTTCATTTTGGGTGGCTATGCTCTCTCTTGGGGGATTTGGGGACATCTAGTGGATAAGTTATTGGATGCCCTTCCTACTTCCACCCCTATGCATCCATGCAAGAGTAACTGAAATGACTGGGATCATTAAAATCACAAAATGGTAAACGGACCAATGAGTCCAATATACAATACAATGTGGAAGTGAAAAAGAAAAGTAATCTACCAATAAGTCAGAATGAACCAGAAAGCTGTTTCTTTACAGGCATACATGCAACTTTATCTCGAGTCTGCTTTACTCACCCTCCACTACTATTGTTAGACCCTCTATCTTCAGACAGGTAAGAATCCCCGGGGGAGGCAGTGGGTGTGAGCATGCACGACGGTGCTCCAACCTCTGTCTTGCTCTCCACGCCTAAAGGAGAAGCAATAAACCAAGTGTGATGTGTCGTTCCCATTGCCAACGACGAAACAGGAGAACGCTCAAATACCCATTCGGAGATTTTTTTAGTAAAGCAAAACCTACTGTTGTAGCCCATGGAGGGGGTGGGGTTTATATCGTCACGTTCCCCAGGACTCTGCACAGAGAGAGGACAGAGGGTCAGACCAAACGCCCCGGGCCTGTGCCAGAGGAGGGCTGAGCGCACCAGAGGGAGACAGCCTTCACATTAAAATAAAGTGCACGAGGGGCTGGCAGCTCTAACGTCCAGACCAAACTGCAGCGGGACAGGAAAAGCACCAGCTGTGGGAGTGGGAATGATGGAGGACCAGGTTTGACTGGGCTGATGAGTCACCCCTGCCTTAAATCTGCCTTAAAGAGCGCAAAAACGTCTAGAATTCATTAGGGTTTTTCTGCCTGACTTTCTGACAAATGAAGTAGGCCTGCGGGAGTAGAATGGCTGCCTCCGGCCGTACTGACCCATCCGATTATACTGTACTGACCCATCCGATTATACAGTCTGTGGCTTCACGTGGTGCAATTAGTCATAAACAGGAAAAAACAATGACACATTCCTTCACAACTTCAGCTTAAAGCAGGAGTGTGAAGGAGGGTCACAGGCTCTGCTTTCACAAAAAGGGGTCCTGCTTAATGTGGGGAACAAATAATGAAAATTTTATAAGCAACAATTTATAGCAAAAAATGCACAAGAAACAGTCCTTCAGTTTTACGGTTCAATCACCTTTTGAAAAACAGGATTTCACTCCATAACCAGCCTTATATTTGTGTGTTTAAATACATGTTAAGCAACTTAATAAGCACCAGTAAGTGGTAACTTTGGAGATTTGTCTTTGTTCTATAAAGACATTGCAATAAATAGCATAAATATAGCTCATCATTCAGCGACAACATCGAATATTTCAGCTCTAAGCCTGTGTATAATGTCTCTAAATGTCCCTCCTCTCAGGCTCAAACCAGGAAATATTTTTATAGCGCCCATCATTCTCTTAAATCTGAACAAATACCTGACCTAAGATGAAATCGAACCACGTTTCATCCTTTGCGACTCCTCCCAAAAGGAGAACTTTCAGTCCGAAGAAGATTTGAACTGATGACGGCATAGCATGAACGCGTTCATGCTATGCCGACATGTTCTGATAAGGCTTGAGGAAAATCCCTCCTTCCTAGAAAACCCAGAGCTGGCAGACGTATTTTTGCTCACTCACTTGTGCCTCCGTGTGCAGCGGATCGGATGCGGCGGCTCTCTCCTCCACGTGTGCGCCGTTACACTGTGGCAAAGGAGGTCCCCGAGCAGGTGGAGCCTGCAGAACAAGGAAAACGCCAAGCCCAGACATCCCTGAGGAGCCCGCAGGAGAGAGGATACAAAAGTTATGTGTTGTAAGTGGTGGTATAGATAAAGGTTTTACATGTGGGGTGATCACTGTCTCCCATGAGCGTGCACATAGGTGGACGTGCACCTGCGCTGCCCTGCTTCCCGTCCAGCGGGGCCTCCACCCCCGATGCCTTTTGGATCCCGGCCTCTGCTGCGATGTTCTCAATGCGTCCCGATCGGGTGGTCGTAGCTTCCAGCGATGCTCCTCCACCCTCATCACCACCCGGGCCATCGTCATCATCGTCCTCCTCCTCCTCCCCTCCCTCGTTCGGTTCCTGCCCCTCTCCTTCATCGGCTTTGTCCATCGGCTCATTCTCCAGGAGGGCAGGAGATGGCAGCTGCAAAGACAAGGTCCGGTCAATAAAAAGACATTAGATGGGAGATAAAGCAACCTTTCATACAGACTGACTGGAGCACAAGGTTCAACACTAGGCAAAAAAGCAATAATGAAAAGTATTTTTAAAAAAAGCCCTACCAATATCACAACCCATCAACAGAAAAAAAACTAAAGAAATTAAAAAACAGTCCTATTTTTACAGGATACATATCATGAAGACGGTGATACCCCGGTGGACCACAACTCTTCGGGCATCCATTGCATTAAAAGTCCATTTGATTGACCACTGACAAACATGACAGCAGTAATTGCAATATCACATTGCTTTCTTGAAATGAGTTAAAAAATAAGGACGACTATCTTTCTGTCACGATTTTAATGTCACGATAAGGGTCCATTTTCAATCCATTTCCCAGTCCTAATCCAGCCTCGTTATCCTTATCTCTGATCAACTTCAAGTACATCTCATGTTGCAATTATTTGTCCATTAAAACTATTTAGAAGTTCAAACTCTTTTACTATTATTTTTAAACTAGACATGAAACATAGAATCATGTTTTTTTTAAATGATCTTATAAGAAAAATTCTAACAGGCATGCTTTGTTTTAGCCATTTGGAAATTGTCAACTGAATGCAAGTTCTCAGCTTGTGGTATTTCTCAAATTCCATTAACATATGTGAAGGACTATCTACAACTATTTGTACACAAATCAATGCTTGAGGAAAAAGTGGCCACAATTCAGTAAGACCTGTGAAAAGTGGGTCAACATGTTAGAATGTGTCTTTAGTCTAGAAATGGCACGATTTCAACAAAAAGGGCCTTAAATGGACTGTTTCACTGGTAAAGTGAACTCAGGTGTTGCCAGGCTAGAAACCGACGATGGGGGGCCTGAGTAGGGGAGTATGGGAAACTTTGGAGAGCTTCGGATATAAACGCTGCCATGTAACCTTGTGTTATTGTGTGACCTGCCATTTTTAGTCAATTAAGATTCTCGTTACTTTCAACACTGATTCAAACATCCCTTAAAACAGCTTCTGATTTAATGATATTACCCAAAGTTTACATGACACTTTTTACATGGGAATGGCTGACATGCCTGCTACACGTGAGAGGGAGAAATGTGCAAAAAGACAAAAAAAACACTATTAAGAATTTAGGTTACCAGTAAAAAAAAAAAGCCATTGTGCCAAAAGGGTGCTTTAGGGATGAGTTCTTTCTCATCTTTCTTTAAAGATGGATGGACTGAGCAGCTTTAAAGCATCTCTTTTTTCTATAGGAGAAGCAGAAACACTAGAGATAAGGAGCAGCCTACAGTAGCCCGCTTAAGTTTACACCTACGGTGAATACAGAGGGGGAGGAGAGTGAGCTGTCAGAAACGATACAAAGGATTTAATGAGGCACCGAGCGGGAGGGACGCGGCGACAACAGGAGGAGGGGGGGGGGGGGGGGGGGGTGGGGGGGGACTAAAGTATGAGGATGTAATGGCCACTGGGAGAACAATCCCCGTCCACAAACACGCCGTTCGGCCGTTTGTGGCCCCGGACGTCTCAACTTTTGCCGTACGCCCCAGCCGAACTTTCCGAGTGAGCGTCTTCCGGTCGGGACGACCCCCCCCGAACCGCCGAGCGGTTGGTAAAAGCTGGGGATGCGCGAGCTCCCGAGCTCGCGCGCCGCGCAGAGGCGCTCTGAATGCGCGCGCGAGCCGTGCTCGTGCCGGGAAACTGGGAAGCCGCTCCGGAGCCGTCTGCTCTCACACACACACACACACACACACACAGACACACACAGGGGCA